GGCCTGATCAATGCAGCTCTGGGCAGCAGAGATGAAACACCTGGAGCTTGCAACACCTTTATTTGGTAAATCAGAAGTAACAAATGTAACAGGTGGCTCAGAGAGCTGGGGGTGAAAATACTAGAACGAGGAACTATGCACATGAAGATTTGTTCTTTGCTAAGATGTCTTCAGCTGGTGTAATCCTTTTGTGTGTGTGTGTGTGTGTGTGTGTGTGTGTGTGTACTAGGGATCAAATTCAGGACCTTGTGCTTGTGAGGCAGGTGGTGGCACCACTGAGCTAAATCACCCCTAGCTGATTTAATCTTTCCCTGGAGCATCACAACATTACCGGACCATTGGGAGTTATGTCTGGATGTGACATAGCTGGCCTGTAGGCAGGAAAATTAGGCCTAATGATGATTTTAATTGTGAAATGATTTTTCCCCAAAATTATGTAGAATTGCTCCCAACATAGCAAATTAAAAAGCTTCTGCACATCAAAGCAAACAACCAACAGAGTGAGGAGACAACCTACAGAATTGGAAACATTTTTGCCAGCTGTTTCACCCAATAGAGAATTAACACCTAGACTATAAAGAACTAAAAAAAAAAAAAAACTCCCCAAAATAAAAGACCCAATCAAAAAATAGACAACTGAAGTGACTAGACAATTCTTAGAAGTACAAATGGCCGTTATATACATTTAAAAATGTTCAACAATGCTGGCTATTAAAGAAATACAAATTAAAACAGCAGCACTGAGATACTCTAGAAAGTATGACCATCACCAAGAAATCAAATAATGACAAATGCTGTCTAGGCTGTGGAGGAAAAACGCTTCTACATTGTTGATGGAAATGTTAACTAGTACAACCACTATGGAAATCTCTGTGGAGATTTCTCAAAAAACTAAAAGTAGGGAGCCGGAGGTTTGGCTCAGTGGTCCTGCCACCTGCCTCACAAGTGCAAGGGCCTGAGTTCGATCCCCAGTACCAAAAAGAAAAGTAAACTAAAAGTAGGCATTCTGTTTGACCCAGGTTAAGCCTCTTCTCTGTATATCTTCCTGAAAGAGTTAATGAAATCATACTATAGTGATACATGCATACCCACGTTTGTAGCAGCACAGTTCGTAAGAGCTAAAGCTTCAAAGTGATCTGTATGTTTATCAACAGAATTTTAATAAATTTGTTGCATTTGTGCACAGTGTATGCACTGTGTTCTCATTAGTAAGGATAAATGACCTACTTTGTAGACCATACTGTTACGTGAAATAAATCAGACACACAGGCTTAAACAGTGTATGGTTTTTCTTATATGGGAAGCCTAAAATATAATTAAAGAGCAAAGTAAAAGATAATAGGAATAGAGAGATAAGCTTTTGCAAATGGGGAGGAAATGGAGGAAGAAGGGAATAAAAAATCAGATGTGTTATATTCATGTACCAAGTTCCCCCGAGGAATGCCATCATTTTGTACTGCAAACATGTAGCAATAAAAAAAAAATTTAAACTGCATAATCAAATCCAGCAATATATGTTAACCAGTTTAAATTGATTTTTTTAATTGAATTAGAACATCTGTTCTCAGTTGGGTGTGGTGGTATACACCTGTAATCCCAGCAGTTGGGAGGCTGAAGCAGGAGGACTGCTGTAAGTTCAAGGCCATCCTGGACTACATGGGAAGACCCCATCTCAAAAAACAACAAAAAATTTATTCTCATAATTTATCAAATAAAAAAACTTAAAACATCTGACTGAGTATATTTCTAGATTTTTTAAATACTTTTGGGTGTTGGTAATCATGGCTGAGTAGAGGCAGTAGGCATGAAGCTTGGAAAATGTAAACTGAGAAGAGCAGATACTCAGAAATGGGGGAGATGAACATACCAAATATGGAAAGGAAACCCAAAGTAGAAACCCAGAAAGGGAAGCTGGATTCCGGCACCCCAGATCCATTGCATTCAGCATCTTGGAAGAAACTCTAACATCCTGAGGAAAAACAGTACTGCAGTGACCGCCAGGTCTCTGGAATTGGCACCTAGTTTTAGCACCTTCCTCACTAGGAAAGGGAGCTTCACAAGCAAGATACTCACAAATTAGGGCACTGGAGAAACTGAAAACTGGAGACTCTTTGGACAGCAGTGACTGAGGTAGGACTCATAGGTCCTTTGGAAAGTAAAAAAAGATATCCTGACTAGTGACCTGGAATCAGTCACAGAAAGCCATGGCTCAGGAAGCTGCAGGTGTGGGTAGTAGTTGTGTCTGGGCATCACTCTGGGGAGAAATATAATTCAACATATTTAACACTGTCAAGTAGTTGAGGCAACTATTAGTTTTTAATACTAAACTTTGTTAACTGATGTTAAATACATTTGACTTGCTTTTTTAGCTCTAACATATAAAGAGCTCAGAAACAGTAACTCGCATTCTCAAATAAGATAAAACCTAAAGCAAAAACAACCCTGCAAGTCATTCACTTCTCTTGGGCCTATCAGAGAATCGAGGTGACAGAGGCAAGTCCCACAGTGATATCTGGAAAGAGGCAAACAGACCCGCAGACAAGATCTGCTTGCCTACAGCAGAAGCCTCTGCCCCTCTGCCACCCTGAACTGTGAGGTACCTTTAAATAGTAATTTTGCTGAATTGCTGGAGGCTGAGTATGATCTAAAGTGAGTCAGACACTATTGGAGGTAACAGTATTAGAGCCCCTTCCACCAGCATCCACATTTCTGTGGGCTTTACCTCCAGATACTGTTATTGAGTCGTCATGCTAAAAAGCCAAAGATGTTTTCTCAAGGCTCAGGAAAGTAGAGGGGGAAGGTAACCATTTTGGAATATACCCAAGCATTCTCCATAATAAAGACCTGCTCTCTAAAGGCAAAGACTTTACTAGAGCCTTATCTTACCTACAGAAAAGGACATTTACGTAACTATCTCTGGTCTTCCAGTCTTACCCAGAGGAAGATGAAACATGCTTGGAGAAGTCACTGCTAGAGACACAAGCCTACTAAAACATTGAGATTTCACTACAAGACGGTATGGAAGTTTTTCCTCCCTCGCATCTTAACTCCATATCAATAGGGTTTCAGTATAATAACTGCAGATTACAGCTGGAAGAGCTGCAAGGTATAGCCAGTATTTAAGGAGGAGAAAAAAATAAGGACATGGAGAAATTTGAAGCTTCTGGCATCTACAGCAAACATCAAGCAACCCAAATTCTAGCCAGATTAAAACTTCAAAGTAAAAGCTTTTATGAGAATTTCTGTTACCTAGAGTATATCACATCTGGCTTTCAACAAACATTTATAAGGCATACTAAAAGACTCACACACAGTCTGATGAAACAAGGCAAAGTTTATAACTAGACGCAGGTATAACATTTTGGAATTCAAGGAGTGAATTTAAAATAACTATGGTTCATATGTTAAGGACTCTATGGAAAAAGTTGAAAACATGCATGAACAGATGAGTAATTTAAGCAGGGAGGTAGAAATCTGCTATAGTTTAAATCTAGAGCATCACCCAGAAGGCCCATATGCTCAGAGGCAGGGCCTTGGAAAGGCAACTGGATCATGGGAGTGCTGTATCCTCAGTGGGTCAATCCATTGAGAGTTCAGAGCTGAATGTGCTTATAGGAAGTAAGGTCTGGTTGCAAGAGACAAGTCCTGAGGGCACGCCCTGAAAGCGTGTATCTCCCTCTCCAGATCCTCCCCCTTCTCTGCTTTCTAGTGACTTTGACATGAGCAGCTTTCCTCCTTCAGTCCCTTCCTGCTTTGAATCCAGCCAACTGTGGTCTGAATACTCTAAAAACTATAAACCAAAATAAACCTCTCCTCTTTTGGGTTGTGAATGTCAGGTATTCTGTCCCAGCAGCAAGGAAATGACTAAGACAAACTTCAAGATAAAAATGAAAAGTATACTGTAAAAGTGTGGCAGCCCAGCCGTCACAACACGAACATGCCCGAGTTGGGGAGTAAGGATTAAAAAAGGAAAGAACACTCAAGCTTGAGTGGAGACCAAGACAAGTCTGATCTATTTCACAGAAACAACTCCTTTTAGAGGCACAGCAACAGGAAGCACCTGACTCTTACAGATAACGTCAGATCTTTAGCCATCTCTTCGAGTTTGTCCCATCGCAAGGTCAAAAAACAAGTTTAACAAGCAGAGTCCTTGGCCCAGGCCCCCACAAGTCCCCCTTTTTATTATATTTAGAGCAGGGACTTTCCCAGCTCAGCAGAAAGACTGTGCCTGTCTTAGGTGAGAAATGTCTAGAGAAATCCCTTACCCGTCATCAAGCCATGAGAGTTTAATACTCATGCTCTGTCTTAGGTTGGATATTTCTCTACACTTCCTACCCATCTTTGACTACCAGCCTCTGCAGGGATTAGACCGTAGGTTGTGGAGGCTTGATACGTAGCTTTCTCTACCTCTATCAACATTTATAACCCTTGATCCTCATACCAGGACTCATTAATTTTTACAGGCATCATTACAAAGGAAGGTTGTCTCAAAACCATCACAGAATGAAAGGAAGTCATTTCTGAGAATATACAATTGGTCAATTTACAATTAAAACAGCTGATATAGTCATTATCAGTTTCATAAACAATCTCTGTATTTCTTACCAATAACATATAAGGAGCATTAACATAAGACATCTTTTTTTGTTCTTTGACTTGAGATAACAGTTATTTATGGTATTTCGCATATTAAAGGTACCTATGTTAAAAACATTGAAACTAAGGCTAGTAACTTTGACATCTGATCATAAATGTATTTCTCCCAATGCAACAGCAAGTTTCCAAATGTTCGTTTGAGGAAAACCTGAATTTGTCTACCAAAGTCCTGTTGATAGACCCAGAGTAGTAGAATTCCCATGGGACCAAACCATGAACTTTCGGGACGTGTCATTAAACTGTTGTTCCTGAGGCATAGTCATGTAACATTTTTTTCTACAAAACTGTTTTATTATTTACCCTTGTCTCTTCCTCACACAGGGGAAGGGATTGCAGGGGCTCACCAGTTCCATTTTGCGCTTTTTCCGGATAGAAGATGGTCACATTTTGCTTTTTGGAAATGAAATTCTTGCTTGTACACCAAGACACATCCTGGAGTTTTTTCTGCTGCTTCAGTGTTGGGGTCCCAATCCGGTCTCTTCAGTGGAAACCCAGCTTTAAGCTGTTTAGGGATAGTGATGGGTCTATAAATGTACCTGTAACCATAAGTAGGTGGAACAGAGGAGAAGGGAGAATACCTGGACCAAAAGGTTATTATCATAAACAATATGTTGAAAAACCTGCATGGTCAGACAACATGAATACATTTTGTATACCAGAAAAGTAGCAATAACTATTATACTTATATGAAATCTTATGTCCTGTAATGTAGCTTTGTATCAATAGGATCTTCTTCCCTCCTTTTTTTTTTTTTAAGATAACCCATCATAGACATGTTATAATAACATATTTAGAATTCAGCCCTTTGATGATAACCAATGTAAACATTTTTAACACATTTAACAAGGCATATCTTTTTATAAAATTATTTTTGTGGCTCCCATTAGTGAACAAAGATCAGAATAAAATTTTTGAGCAGCTGCTTTTTTATTCACCAACAGGAGTGTACCCAAACTTAAAAGTTTATATTTAATTATCTTTAAATTTTTTATTTAACCTATAAAACCAGGGTATAGAACTCAACAATCTACTTGTATTTGACGTCATTTTGATCAAAAACATAATTGAACACTTTTGAACATTTAGACAGGCAAACATAGAAGACAATTTAAACTAGAGTGCACTCAGATGGTTTTGGCCATTTGAATTATAAAATCTTTTAGTTATGACTAGTCAAAACTTTTGCAGGTCAAAATTAACAAAGATCTCTTGTAGAATTAGGGTTAAAGGAATGAAAGCTCTTCTTGACTGTAAATGTAAACCTTTTATAACAGATTTAAAACCAACAAGCAAGCATAAATAAATCATTTCCACACACCTCTACATACTTAGGCCTTCTGGTCTTGTATATCTTTACCTGTTTTTAACAAGACAAACATACAAAAACCTTTTATGTTAAAAGTATAACTCTTACTTATAGCTTTCCTAATATTTTTTGTCTCATTTATTATTAACCTTCTACAACAAACTCATTTACTACTAACCTTCTATAACAAACTTCAGCTTAAAGTGTCCTTTTTCTGTTCAGATTGTTACATCTTAAAATTTGACTAGCTGCCAATACAACAGTATTAACCTTGAGTTTTTAGAAAAGAGCAAGTTAACACTATAATCGCAATTTAAGAATTTGCAATGTACAAGAAGTGTTACCAAAACTAAATAGTTTTTACTAGCAGCTGATTGTCACAGAGCAGAAGCTTGAGCAACTCCAAGGCTGGGTTGTTTTGAAATTTCTTTCTTAGTTATGTGGAGTCTAAGGTCAGCTGAAATCCCATGGACCTCTTGGAAATCAAGGGGAGGTGGGTAGATGAGCTTTCTTTCATCCTGCCAGAAAATTCAAGATAAGTGAACAGACAAGAGAGCAAAAGAGGCCAAACAGAATGTAAGACAAACAAACCGAAAGAACCAGGGACTCTGTCAGGGAATCTTCTTAATCTCCTCTTCTGAAACCAGAAGAACTCTGCCTTGACCAGAGGGTCCTGAGGAGGGGGGGGGGAATCAATCTCCCTACCTGTACACAGAGAGACGGAGTTCTTACCACAAGGGCAAAGGATGTCTCTAGCCCCTGTGGCGGGGAGTCCATTAGCACATCTGCCTGGACCTCCGGCCTCCAAAATGATCCGGATCACAAATTACCAATTAACAATTGTCAGACATTAACAGGAAGAGAAAGACACAGAAGCAAAAAAAGAACAAGTACTCACCGATGGGTTTGTAAAGTTTAGGGGTCTTTTAGGGGCAGCGTCAATCTCTAGCAAGCATCTCATAATTAGCATTTAACCTTCTCTGTGTCCCATTTAATTTTGCTGTTTTTTTAACATTGTTTTCAAATTCAAACTTTCACAAAAGGAAAT